TCATCACCGTTGGTCAATAGTGTTAGTGGTAGTACTCCACTTGTTTCAAAATCCATATCTCCATCCCCCTTTCCATATTTATTATACTCTTCTTCATATCAACTTACAAGTTTAGATGAAGACTTGTCTAATCTTCCACCGCTTATTGACAAAGACCATTTCTCGGATGATGAAGAGAAGGAAGGAGTTGAGCCAAATTATGAGGAAAGGGATGATGCTAATGATGATGATAATATTATTAAGGGTAGCGATAATAATGAACAAGAGAATGTAACATCTTTTCTACATGCTATAACTTCAACAACTAAACAAAATATAAAAATAAAGAGAAAGCGTCGTCGTCGTCATAACCACAATTTAGATTGTAATGACAACAATAAAGTAGAGGAAATTGATGATAATGATGGTGATGATAGTGATGATGGCGATGATGGTGATGGTGATGATAAAGTCAATTCGGAATATTATTTGACACCAATTACAAATAATTCTTATGAATGTTCACATCCAAATGCAGCATTTGAAATACTCGAATATGAAGCAGACGAAATGGCTGATATCATGATAAAATATGAATCAATTTATGGCAGACCTAATAATAATAGAAGTAATAATAATGTTAATAGTAACAGCAGTGATGATAATAATAGCAACATTAATAATAATAATAATAATAATAATAATAATAATAATAATAATAATAATAATAATAATATCACGAGTAGTAATAGTAATAATAATAACACAAGCAATAATAATAAATCTTGGTGGAATCCAGAAGGAAGAAAAGAGTTTGTTATTGTAAGAGAAGTATTTAATGTAGAAGATAGAATTAATTGTAATGATAACAATGAATTTGACGATTCAAGTGATGATAATTATACGTTGACACCAGATTCATTGCATGACATAGGAACAGATTCTACTACGATAACTTCAGATTGGCCATTTCCATCATCAACAACATCTTCCTCTTCCTCAATCAACGTTGACAATATTTTTACTATTGAACAACAAGCATCAATGAAAATTCCATTCACTATTTGGGAGGATCCCGAAGCTGATGATACTTAACCAATTTCTTTAACAAAAGAAT